ATTCACTAAAACTTATTGCATGCAAATTCTCACCTTGAAAAGCCGTTCATATTTCAGGCATAATCTTCACGTCAGAGACAAAAATCTTTTGCTCTGATTTGGGTTCTCAACCCTCTTTAGAGTCCTTTGTATCCTTTTAGGGTATTCCGGGCAATTTTGCAAGCCCTCTTAAACAAAGGGCTGATCACGTCCCATTGCTTAAATAGACTTTTCCCCAGGGTGGGAATCTTCTGACTTACATCCTCCCTTCTGTGGATAAATACCAGGTTCAAAATTATTCAGGTTATTCCTGAAAATAATCGGCGTAGCAGCATTACGCAAGAGGGTTTTTCTTGTGCAAGAAGAGGCAGTGTAGACAGCTCCTTCTGGCGCAAGAGCCTCTTCTGCAAAAATGGCAGTTTATTAGGTATGCAAATGAGGCTCAGCGATATTCCACGCGTAGCCTCATTTGCATATTTCTCATGCAAGAAGCCATGAGTGTAGACATAGCCCTAGTATAGTTACTGAGCAATGCAAGTGGTACCTAGACCACAGCAAAAGCTAACATCAAGAGACCTCTACCGCGTGGGCTGGAAGGCAGCTAGCTTTTAGCTCAGTGGCTAGAGGCTCCTATATTCTGCTTCAGAGGTCCTAGGTTCAAATCCACCCTGTGGTGGTTACACAAAGAAAGCAGAAGGCTTCTTTTCCCACTGCTGATAATTGCTATCGTCAATATTTATGCAAGTTTGAAAAGTACCAGCCCATGACTGGTTTGAGTTCTGTAAATGTGAACATGAGTTTCTGGCAAAAGATCAGTGAGTGAAAAGAAAAGAACTTCCACCAAGACATTCAGAAGTCAACCAATCAGTGATCGGTCTTGCCAGAATTTATTGCTGGTTCATATTAAGGCCATTTCCTCTTGCAGTAGGAGGGGAGCCCTGCTAGAGCATTGAATCTGAAGTTTGTCCAAGGCTCTGTAAGACTTGCAGTGTGGTGTTGTGTAATTTGACTTCCTGCTCTTGCCTCAGCTTTCCCATCTATAAATTGGGGAAAATTCCTACTTATTTTGTGGCATGTGTTTTTGTAAATCTCCTTGAAGTTTGCAGCCAAGTGGTGCTCTATGCCAGTGAATGGAATAGAGTTCACTCCCAGGCATGGAGTTTTTACTAAGGTGGTAGCATTAGTTGTAAGCTCCATATGGTTGGGGTAAACGTCAGAGTTTTTGTTCTCCCTGCATAAATCGCCCTAGGCCTTTCCCCACATAGTTAGTACGTGGCTCAGATAGTATTTCATATGTTCAAAGCAATTTACAAACATGCCCTTCGCACACCCTTCTGAGATAAGCAAGTAATGACACCTGATTTACAAGGCTAAGTGACATGCCTAATGCCACAGAGGGAGCCAGTGGCAGTGCTGGAATAGACGCTTCGTCTCCTGAAACCAGTCCTGCGCTCTTTGCATGATTCTTTGCATGAATCTTCTCTGCTGCTTTCCAAATAATGTAGCACTAGCACAAGGGTGGGCAATAATTTTTGATGGGGGGGATGCCAAGATTTTGGAAAAGTGGCATTCTTCCAGGATATCAATGGAGGAATTCCAGGGTCTGGCCGGAAACTTGGGGTAAGGGATTGGGGTGCAGGAGGGAGAATGGGGTCTGGGAGGGTGTTTGGATGAAGGAGGCAGTTGTGTCCTAGGGCAAGAACTGGGATGCAGGGTTTTGGGATGTGACCTAGGGTAGGAAGGGATTGTGATCTGGGGCAGGGGACTGGGTGCCAGATCTGAGAGAGGATTTGGATGCAGGAGGGGGCCGAAGGTTTGGGTATGTGGAGGGGACAGAGGGTTGGGGAAGGGAGGGGCTGGGATGCCAGAGGCAGGCTCTGACTAGGAGGCACTTACCAGCTGAAACCTAAGGCAGACTGTCTGCTGCAGGCTGCTCACTGCTCCATGTGGCTCTGCTCTGGGCATGGGAGGGAGGGATAGGGGTAAGTGTAAGGGGTCGAGGAGGAAGGGAGAAGGCTTCCTATACTGCCTGTGCACCTAGCAAAAATTCTCATCTCCCATGGGCCAGAAACTGAGAAATGGAAGCTAAGAGATTTTGCTGGGGGATGGGAACAGCATGAAAAGTCTCCCTCCTCAGCCATCTGGAATGGAGAACAGCTGGCTTTTTAAAGTGTGAGCTGTTCTGCCGCAAACCAGATCTGCCCCGCTGGCAGCCTCTTGCCCACCTCTGCTCTAATGGGCGACTTTTCCAGAAAGTCACCCGAGTTGTGACAGAGCTGAGTATCAAGCCTACTCCAATGTCTCCTCTTAAGGAAGTGACACATTCCCAGTACTCCATGGCACCAACATGCAACTTTCAGGAGAGCTGCTTGGAGCATTGAATCGTGTCTACACTAGGCTGCGTCTACACTAGAAGCGCTCCAGTAGCACAGCTGCAGCTTCACTACTGTAACACTGTACTGAAGACATTCATTCCAGTGAGGAGGGGGCTTTTCCACTGCAGTAGTAAAGCCACCCCCTGGAGATATGGCAGTTTCCCAAAGACTTTGTCCATTGCCCTGGCAGTGTCTTAGTTTGATTTAATTCTGTCTCTCAGGCTATGTCTACACTACCGCCTTTTGTCTGCAGAGACAATGCAAATGAAATACTCATTAGCATTTGTCGCACTGTCATTTGCATATTCTCTGCCAATGCTTTTTGCAGAAGAGGTTTTTGCGCAAATACAAACAGTGTAGACGGGGCCATTTTGCGCAAAAGAACCCTTTTGCACAAGATTCTGTAGACCTCCTTTTTTGAGGCTTAAGGGATCTTGAGCAAAAGGGGGGTTTTGTGCAAAACTTCCCCGTCTACACTGCTTATTTTTGTGCAAAAACCTCTTCTGCAAAAAGTTCACAGTGTAGACGTAGCCTCAGGGGCATGGAGTTTTTGAGTTCCTGTGTGATGTAGCAGAGTCAACCTAAATTTTAGGTGCAGAGCAGGCTAAGGTGTCTGTATCCATTTTTTTCCATCTATTGTCTCTCCTCACTTCATCTCTCTCATATCCTGGGCCTGGCACAGTTACAATTACACTCTCTACATTAGGTCCACAAGTTGAATATGAGTCAACAGTGTGATGCTGTTGCAAAAAAAGCAAATATGATTCTAGGTTGTATCAACAGGTGTGTTGTAAGCAAAACTCGTGAAGTCATTCTGCCGCTCTACTCTGCACTAGTTAGGCCTCAGCTGGAGTACTGTGTCCAGTTCTGGGCACCACATTTCAAGAAAGAGGTGGAGAAATTGGAAAGGGTACAGAGAAGAGCGACAAGAATGATTAAAGGTCTAGAGAACATGACCTATGAAGCCAGGCTTCATGAACTGGGCTTGTTTAGTTTGGAAAAAGGAAGATTAAGGGGGGACATGATAGCGGTTTTCAAATATCTAAAAGGGTGTCACAAGGAGGAAGGAGAAAATTTGTTCCTCTTGGTTTCTGAGAACAGGACAAGGAGTAATGGGCTTAAAGTGCAGCAAGGGAGGTTTAGATTGGACATTAGGAAAAAATTCCTAACTGTCAGGGTGGTCAAATATTGGAATAAATTGCCAAGGGAGGTGGTGGAATCTCCCTCTCTGGAGATATTTAAGAACAGGTTAGATAGACATCTGTCAGGGATGGTGTAGACGGAGCTTGGTCCTGCCTTGAGGGCGGGGGGCTGGACTCGATGACCTCTTGAGGTCCCTTCCAGTCCTATGATTCTATGATTCTATGATTATTCTATAGGTGCCACTCATGAACCTGGATGCACAAAGAGATTTTCACTTTTACTGGTGGAGATGCACTAGCTGTGCTTTCCTCTGGAGTAAGATTTTCACCTGACAGGCTTTCTACTGGACTGATCGTCTGCGATTCCCCTAGATGCAAACGCTAGATTAACACACCTTCCTGTGAACACAGCATGGGGCTTTCTTTGCAGCACCAAAAATATGACCCTTGCTAGGAGTGCGTGCAGCAGAGGGGAGCAGGGAAGGAATGGGGAATGGAGATGTTCTGAAAATACCCACTGGGCGTGCAGCAGCAGTCAAAAAAGCAAACGGAATGTTGGGAATCATTTAAAAAGGGATGGAGAGTATCTTATTGCCTCTGTATAAAACCACAGTACACCCACACCTTGAATACTGCATGCAGATGTGTTCACCTCATCTCAGAAAAGATATATTGGCATTGGAAAAGGTTCAGAAAAGGGTGGGTGCCATATAAAGAGAGATTAAAAAGACTGGGGCTTTTCAGCTTAGAAAAGAGGAGTCTAAGGAGAGATATGATAGAGGTCTATACAATCATGACAGGTATGGAGAAAGTAAATGTTATTTACTTTTTCTCAAAACACAAGAACTGGGGGGAAGGGAGGGAATATCACCAATGGAAACTAATAGGTAGCAATTTAAAACAAACAAAAGGAAGTTTTTCTCCATGCAGCATATAGTCAACCTGTGGAACTCCTTGCCAGAGGAGGTTGTGAAGACCAGGACTTTAACAGGGTGCAAGAAAGAACTAGATAGATTCATGCAGGTTAGGTTCATCAATGACTATTAGCTAGGCTAGGTAGGAATGGTATCCCTAGCCTCTATTTGTCAGGGGATGGAAATGAATGACAGAAAAGGGCTCACTTGATAATTACCTGTTCCTGTTCACTCCCTCTGGGGCATCTGGCATTATGCTCTGGGTGTGTGATGTGATAGAGATGTTCCAGGTGTATTCTCTCTTGTGGGAGCTTTCTCTGAAGGCAAAAAAATATGATTATTATCAACAGTCAGTAGCTGTAACAGGAATGAGATCCAGGAAATCTGCCCAGCCCCTTTTCAGTGCATCTGCAGGAGGTGAAAACGTCCTGCTGTGAGTGTCCTCCATGCTAGTGCTGTTTCCCCCAGGGAACGTCTGGCAGGGTCTAGGAGCCCTATGCTGAGACCCCACCTGGTTGGAAAGTTTCCGCTACTGGCAAAGCAGATGAGGCAGAAGAAGTTAGTGACAAATGATCTTTCTGTCTTCCTAGTCACTTTGGAACAAATTGAGCACCTGCATCGGCGATTCAAGCAGATAAGTGGGGACCAGCCAACAATCCGGTAAGATGCTTCCTCTGTCTTTATTCTTTCTTCATTGCCCTGGCTGGGTTGTTTATAAACTCAGACCTTTAGGGCACTAGTGCTCTTCCTGTCTCTCCCTCTGGAATTACAGAAAACTACCTAGCACCATCCGGAGCACCGCACAATACCATGCGTTACAGGTGACTGGTTTTTGGAACTGCCCAGAGACAGAAAGGGAGAGAGAAAATGGACGTAGTATGTCATAGCAGGAAAAGACCATATTTAACTCAGAAGGGAATGGATGCCACAACATAGGCCGTGTCCAGACTCAGGGGTTTTTTCGGGAAAAGTAGCCTTTTCCCGAAAAAACTTCCCCTGCGTCCAGACTCAAGCCGCGTTCTTTCGAAATTATTTCGAAAGAACGCGGCTTTTCTTTCGATGGCGGTAAACCTCGTTTCACGAGGAAGAACGCCTTCTTTCGAAAGTTCCTCTTTCGAAAGAAGGCGTTCTACAATGTAAAGAGGACGTCTTCGAAAGAGAGCATCCAGACTCGCTGGGTGCTCTCTTTCGAAAAAGCGGATTTCCTCTATCGAAAGATCCGCCTGCAGTCTAGATGCAATCTTTCGAAAGAGGCTCTTTCGAAAGATGCTTTTGAAAGAGCCTCTTTCGAAAGAAGCCTGCAGTCTAGACATAGCCATAGAGCTGCTGGAGGAACCATCCCATTTTTGGAATTAGACTTTCAAACTAAGTTCCGGGCCTCTCTTTGGTCACTAAAGAACCAATGATATTTTTCACAAGTCACTGGTGTCCATGTTGCATCTTTCTTCCTGGAGTTAACTAAGTACTGCTTTCCGTTTCTGCTACCAATGTATTTACTCCTTTCTTATCTTGCAGTGTACTGTTGTTATATGCTGTTAAACATTAGTCTTGTTTCCAGAGGTGCCTGCATTCCTCAGCTACTAAAATATTACAACAAATTGAGTTGAAACAGTTTTCCCCCAGCATAAAATAGTGTTTTGTCTAAAATGAATATTTTAAAAAAAAGACTAGAAATAAAATGAAATGAAAATGTTCAGTTTTTACAAAAACTTTTTGGCTACATCTAGACTGGCATGATTTTCCGCAAATGCTTTTAACAGAAAACTTTTCCGTTAAAAGCATTTGTGGAAAAGAGCATCTAGATTGGCATGGACGCTTTTCCGCAAAAGCACTTTGCCAATCTAGACGCGCTTTTCCACAAAAAAGCCCCGATCACCATTTTCGCGATCGGGGCTTTTTTGCGGAAAACAAATCAGAGCTGTCTACACTGGCCCTTTTGTGCAAAAGATTTGCACAAAAGGGACTTTTGCCCGAACGGGAGCAGAATAGTATTTCCGCAAGAAGCACTGATTTCAGACAGTAGGAAGTCAGTGCTTTTGCGGAAATTCAAGCAGCCAGTGTAGACAGCAGGCAAGTTTTTCCAGAAAAGCGGCTGATTTTCCAGAAAAACTTGCCAGTCTAGACACAGCCTTTTTGTGTGTGCCAAAAGTCCCAATTTTTTGAAAAAAAACAAGAAGTGGTAGTGGGTTTTTTTTTGTTTTTCTTTTTTGTTTTGTTTTGGTTTTTTGTGTGTATGGAAAAGCAAGAGGCTCTTGTTTTTCAGTTTTGTTTTTCAATCTGTAAGCTGATAGGAAATTTTGAACAAAAAAAAAGATGTTTATGTGCATGTGCTTTGAGACCAATGCGGCGGTCAGAATGCTTTGCACGGGGTTTTGCGGCTGGCTCGTATACAATGGAGCCACTTTCTCAAAACAATGAATTATGATGACATTCCATCCCTGCTTGTGACCTCTCAGGATATAAAGAATGTCAAAGCAGTGAGCTGTGCCTATCCGAGAGGGTAGAAAAAGAACCAGGAGAGGTAACAATCAGAAATCTGGTCTCCACTTCCTGTTATTGCAAAAGGTTCTCCGAGTCCCTTAAGTGATCTTATCCAATGGGGACACTTTATGCTTATAACTTGACTGTCCCTGTTAATAAGCTGTGGCTCTGGCAGGCAATGGTGCTTCTGAGGAAGCTTGTTTTATACACATCCAGATGTTTATCTCTCAGCACAGCCACTTATCAAAAAGTGACTGTGCAAAACGCAGTGAGATGGGGGTACGAGGCTGAGCCAAGAGAAAAGATGTAGTGGCATAAAAGGACTCGTCTCACTCTGTTAAGCCTGAAAGGGCCCCCATTCATCCTGGATCACTGTGACTGCTCCTCTTAATGCAAGACCTGGCCAGACGAGGAGGCTTAGAACAACGGACAATTTTTAGCCAATTGTTACTGTTCCAGGTGCCATAAACCTGAGATTATTTTGCAAATGAAGCAGCACAGAGGAACTCCTCATGCCTCTGAGAACTTGGTCTGCAGAATTCAGGTGGGGATTTGTGTGTGTGATCATTGGACCACGAGGCTGCAGAATGCTGGAGGGGAGACCCTACGGGGCCTTTTTCCCTCGCGTGCGGGACTGATGAGAGGAGTGATATGTGGGAGAAAGGGAGTTTAAGGAGTCTTCAGAAATTCTTCCCAGATGGGGGAAGAGCATAAGGAAGTATGGATTCTGCAGAGAGGCCCTACATGGATATAAGAAAAGGGAATCCCTCTCTCCACTCCAGACACAAGGCCTGCTTCCCCACTGCCTCCCAGTGGGGGGAACCACCTACACCTGAAGGAAGTGGGTATAAATTGTTATCACCAGGGCAACAGTGTGTCAGGTTCTGCTATCCAGCTTGTCTCGCCCCACATCCCCATTTGCCCAGGTGTAAATGACTCCGGGGGCTGCAAGGCAGTGAGAAGATGGGGCGCTGGATGTAGGCCAGGGGTTCAAGATCATTCCCAAAGCTCTCAGCGTCTGGGCTCTAAAATGGCAGAGGAATTTGCTAGCAGCCCCATTCCCAGCTCTGGACACTGGCCCACTAAGCGCTGTGCCACGAAGTGGTGTGGCACGTGGGAGACTGATGGTATCGAGTGGGGAGGACCCTTCCGGAAGGAACATGCTGCCATCAGGGTGTGGTGAGCGCACACGCAGGGATATTGGTGGCGAATCGCAAGCTACCCACTTAGGAACTGGGAGGTTGACTCCTAACCTGACTCTTTGATGAAGGTGAAGGTGGTGGAGGAGTCCCCAAAGCCAGTGCCTGAAACTCATCCCATGTCCCAGCTAGATCCCCACCTCATCGCATATCCCAGCTTTGTTCCCTTGTTCCAGAGTTTTGCTCAGCTAGCCATGAGATTCCCACCGGGTTCTTCAGGAGACGCACTGACTGCAGGGACAGGTCCTTGAGCCTGCTGTGTCTCCCTCCATGGGAGACTGGCCCTGCTCAGTAAAAGCTGCTCAATCGATAGCATGTTTTCCTGCGCTGATGCAATCTCTCGGTAACTAGCCGTGATGAGTCAGCCCTATCTGCAAGAAGCCACAGGTCTGACCTTTCTGCCACTGCACAGTCAGCTGGAGACTCAGCTGTGACAAGGTGGCAGCGCTCTGTGGTACAAGCTGACTGTCAGGAAGGTGCTGCAGCAGACCACAGAGAGGCACAGAAACCTGCTTTGCATAATTTGCCTGTCACTCTCTCCCCATGTCTTCAAGATAGAAAACAAACCTCAGCGGCCATGATGACCAAGAAAATAAATATTGCACGATGCAAATATCTAACCCTCCAGGGGCTCCCCCTGCTCTAGCCTGGGGGGGCGTGCACCAGGCTCATTAAAACGAGTGTCCCTGAAGCAGAGCACGGTGCTGCGGATTGGCACGCGGTGACTCCTGCCTGAGAGGCCCAGCACTGCTTTGCTGTCACTTGGTTGTGCCAGATGACTTCTTCTGCTGGAGGGAGGTGCAGTCTGTGCCCCTGGAGCAAGTGACCCGTCATTGCTGAAGCCCTGTGTGGCTCTGTCCCCCTACAGCCTCTTCCACAGTCCGGCTTAGGAACCCCCTCAACAAGCACTGAGGTGGGTTAGTAATCAGAGTGCCTGGGCTACCTGCACCTCTGGCCCTTCAGGCTCTTGTCCAGTGCAGTCCATCCCAGGTCCTAGCCTGCCATCTGGCACCAGGGGGAATAATGTGAGCATGACCTGGGTTGCAATCCCCTCTCCAAGGGTGATTAGCTCGGCAGCCCTGAGAGACGCAGACCCTGATGTGCTGTTCCCTCCGGGGCAGTGACAAACAGCCTCCGTGTGTGCAGAACAACAGCGCGTCTGAGAGAACTTATCCTGCGAGAGCTGCCTAGCTATTGGGTGTCTAACCACCTTCCATGAGGGACCAGCTCCCTACGGATCCTTCCTAAGAACATCTCCCTTGCACCTCCCTGGGGAGCCTCTGACAACTGATACTTTCCACCCTCCCCCACAATTTCTCCTCTTCAAATAGGGTTGCCAGATGGTTTAACCAAAAATACCGAACACCCTCCCCCCCCCTCAAAAAAAAAACACCAGGGAAAAAAATCTGTGGAGGCAGGAAAAAGTTGTTGAGAAAAAAAAAAGGGGGACCCCAAGAGTTATTAAGCAAGCAAGCAAATAAATAAATAAAACATTAAAACAGCATGGCCCCTTTAAGTGCATGCAGAGTCAGAATATGGATAGGAAGAGGAGAGGTTGAGCACTAAGACCCAGAGAAGGCATTGCTTCCCCTTCCTCGGGTCTTTAGGCTTTTTGCTGGTGGCCATCTTTTTTTCTTGGTCGAGCCAGAAGGGAGCTTCCCTGCGGAACCAGGTAAGCAGGGGCACCAGAGGCTGAGCCCAGTTGTTGAGTATGTCATAGGGTTGCCAGGTGTCCAGTATTTTCCCCTCCTGGCAGGGAAAAAAACCAGAAAATACCGGACATTTTAGGTGGCCACTATTTTCTGAATTTTTTCACTGGACAGGAGGTGAAAATGCCGGACTGTCTGGGTGAATACCGGACACCTGGCAACCCTACGCTCAGAAAAGTTTAGCAGAAAAGTTTTCCGTTAAAAGCATTTGCGGAAAAGAGCATCTAGATTGGCATGGACGCTTTTCCGCAAAAGTACTTGCGGATGCATGGGCCTGTTAACTCCTGTCGTGCATGCGCCTCTCTGCCACCCGAGCACCGGAGCCACCTTCGGGACAGCCTTTTCTCCCTCCCCATGAAGCAGGGGGTGACAACTGCAGGGGAATGCCAAGCACAAAGGGAAGCAGCACTTTCCTGGAAAGGCTGCTACGCTCTAGTTTTATACCTTGGCTGCTTCAGCCATTGGTGCACACATGCAGATGCAGAAAGGAGGTAGTGGAGTTGGCAGAATTGCTCCCCCAAGCTCGGACCAATAAAAAGTCATGAGTCAGGCCCCCTAAAATCATGCGTGTAAGAAAAAGCACATGTTGGGTTCTTTTAATTGGCTTTCTGGGGTACACGCACTTTTTGAGATGATGCTCTCCAGCTTTGCTCTGCAGTAAGGATTAGAAACTTTTTCAAAAGCTTTCCTGCATGATCACATGACCGCAGGAGCTGTGACTTTAAGCAAATAGCATGACCAAGAAATGCTGGGTTTGAGGTAGCGTTGCTTCCATAACACACAGTACTGATAAACATCCTTTGTACAACCCATGCTATTGCCAGGGTGTGTAGAACTAGCATAAAGCCAAACAAAAGCTGAGTGAATGGGGAAAAGCAGCCAAATGCAGAAAGCAACAAAGCACAAGGGGCAACAGAACAAGAACTGAGCAATGCAGCATCAGTGAAAGTGCCAGTGAAAGACACTATTTCCTCCAATCCTTTCCCAAACAGACCTCACGTAGCCTGGGTATTAACTCCTGGTAGGGTGGGAGGGTCTGCAGCTCTGCTAGGCTGATGCAGCTGGCTGCTGATGACGTTCTGCTCACATTGCAGGACAGGTTCACGATGAGATAACTAATCTGCGTGGCATGCTAGAATATGAGAGCAATGCCTGGCACATGTTGGGATAAATGCTCCGTTACCAGAGGGGTTAAAATAATGGAGCCTTCATCAGTGAGGCTTTGGGGTGGTGTTTTTTGTTTGTTTGTTTTTTGTTTTTGTACATTGCAAGCATATCTTACAGCAACTAAGTGCAACGGTCAGGTCTGGCTGTCCCGTTAGCACACAGCTGCCAGTGATTGGCAAGGTCCTCTTTCAGTTTTGTGAGTTGTGTTGCACCTGTGTGGTGGTGTTCTACCTGCCTTTGCTCTGCTGGTTAATTAGCACAAGCAAGCTGAGCCTGAGGCAGGGGTGAATCTGACGAAGCTGCGTTGCTTGGGCACTGGAAAATGGATAGTTTGTCGTAGTCTGTGACCAAATGGTCTTGTGCACTTCATGGAACCAGATTCACTTTCCTGACCCAGCCTCTGGTGCCTTGTCTCTGTTTTCCTTTCTGCTCAGATTCACCTGCATGTTAGTGTTGTCTCTGTTTTCTTTACAGCAAAGAGAGTTTTGACAGGATCCCCGACCTGGAATTCAATCCAATTAGGTCAAAAATTGTTCGTGCCTTTTTCGACAAGAGGTAAGACAAGCATCTCTGGCCACACTGGCCAGGGGGTTGTGTGTGCATCAAGTGGGGGGAGAGGGCGGGGTTGTGTGTATGACCTTTTTCATTTCATTTAAACTCTAACATCCTCAAATAGTACTGGAGAGAAAACACAAGGGCTGCATCTAGACTGGCATGATTTTCCGGAAATGCTTTTAACGGAAACGTTTTCTGTTAAAAGCATTTTTGAAACAGAGCGTCTAGATTGGCACAAATGCTTTTCCACAAAAGCACTTTTTGCAGAAAAGCGTCTGTGCCAATCTAGACGCGTTTTTCCGCAAAAAAGCCCCGATCACCATTTTCGCAATCGGGGCTTTTTTGAGGAAAACAAATCTGAGCTGTCTATACTGGCCTGAATGGGAGCAGAATAGTATTTCTGCAAGACGCACTGATTTCTTATAGTAGGAAGTCAGTTTTTGCAGAAATTCAAGCGGCCAGTCTAGACAGTTGGCAAATTTTTCCGGAAAAGCGGCTGATTTTCCGGAAAAACTGGCCAGTCTGGACACAGCCAAGAAGGGCATCCTGGCTGAAGCCCTGGCCAATCTCAGTTTGGAGTATAGAATCCCACCAGATAAAGTCTTGGGGGGGAAAAACCCCAAATGATCATGCCTAGATGCATCAGGAACATTTAGAGGCACGTGTGCAGTTTGGGGTCTGAGACAGCACTGTTAAAGTCCCAAAGGATCTGAAAAGGGCAGGGCAATTTGTCTGCATCTGAACCTAGTGCGTGAATAATTGACTGGATAGTTCTAGCCCACCAGCTGATACTCAAAACTGTTTCAGTCCCTTGGGAATTTCATTTTCAGTGTTTCTAACCACTGGTTATGGGAGTGGCCCTACAGTAGCGCTTGCGACAATCAGGGTCCAGACAACACAGACCAAGAGCAGGGGATCTGAACACCAACCAATTGTACACAGTGTCACTGTATTATAGACATACATCCTGCATTATACACATACACCAAGTTGGGTTTTTTATGAAAGCCAGGGATGCACTGGTGATCGTTACCATTGTGAAATGTCTGTATTAACATGAAAGCAGGTTATCAATGTCCTTATATAAAGTCAGTAAACAGACATGGGGAGAAACAGGTTTTCTCCCAGACAGGAGGGAAGCATTATGGAATCAAGTCAAGGGAAGTTCTATGACCTATCAATCAGCAGCTAGCGGGGGTGGCAACACAGAGAGGAACAGCAGGACAGACATTGGGTAATAGAAAGAAAAGAGACTGGAAGAGACAAAGAAGCCTAGCACTGAGTTCAGGGGAGCCGACAGAATTGCCAAGCCCCTGGGCAAAGGGTGTGCGTTGGCCTAGTTTTGTGCTCTAGGAAGAGGCAAGGCTCTAGTAAAAAGGGGTGTGGCTGGGGGGAGCCGGTCCTTAGTGCTGCTGGACCGCACGGTGTCATTCCCTCCCACCCCCAACCCGCCCAGGGCTCTGGCCACCAGCAGTAGTGGTGGCAGTGGCCAGGAGCGCCAGGACATTTTGAATCGCAGGGTCTCGGGACAGCTGCCCCCTTTGCCTCCCCTGTTGGCAGGCCTGGCTGTGTTGAATCCAGCGTAAGAATGGGCTGAAGGACAATTGAGGTGAGAACACGGCGCGAGTGTGTCAAGTTCGCTTTTACTTTTAGAAGTGTCGTTCTGTTTCCCGTCATTGGTAGCCAGCTCCAGTCCCTCACCTGAGTGTCACTTCCATCTCAGTTCTTTGGGAAGGGATTTCATGCTGTCGCTGGGTCACCAGTGAGCCGAACGAACAGGCCAGTGCTGCGAACTGCTGCTGTATGGGAGTAGCAAATTTGAGAGTGCCGCAGCAAACGGGGTGAGTTCTGCGAGAGAGAAGTTCTCGGAGCCTTTGGTGTCACCCTGTCAGGAGTATCCAGGCTAGGGAAAGCCAGGGTGACGTCATTCTTACAGATAGGCAGAACAGACAGCTGTGTGGGGGCATCACCAGGTCTTAATGTCCACCCACTCGCCTCTTCCTATCCCTGTCCTGTGAGGCTGTAGTTAATTTAAAACTGAAATAGCCAGCCAGAGCTATTAGCAGGCCATCCAACCTGTGAAAGAGCCAATCAAGTGGTACCCAAGCCATGTAACAGGCATCTGCCAACCCCAGGCATAACCCGTCAGTTTCTGATTTGACTGTGTTAGTGCAGGACCTTGGTTTAAAATCTGCTTCAAAAACGTCATTAGTGTGTTGCTGAAGATCATAAAATCACATCTCTTAAAAAATCCTCACTCCTGTCAGGCATTTACTTTAATAGGACTGTATAGGGCCCCATAAATCCTAAAGACAGCCCTGAGAGCAGCCTGCTGATGCTGGTGGTGTCAGAACTTGGGAGGGATGTGACATTTGGGGGTTTGCATCACCACCTGCTCTGAAACTCTGGGTGCCCATGCTGTGCTGCTGTGATTCCAAGCCTGGATCCCACTAATCAGCCAGCCTGCAAGCTACCAGGTCACATCCTGGCTTCCCCTGCCCAGGTCCTTTTTCCAGACTCCAACAGTCGGTCTTGGTAGTGGCCAGCCCTCTCCCGGCCCCATCACAGAAACTATTCTGCTCCTATTACTCCTTTACAAAGTCAATATATGCGGCAGTATATCAATGGACCTAGAGACTGGCAGACACCTGTATTTCAAGCACAGCACTGAATTATAAGTTTATTAAGCAGAAAAGCAATAGGTTTAAGTGATACCAGATTGAAGGAGTATGGATAGAAACAGTCCCAAACAGAAGTAAAAATATGCTGCTAATTCTAAAACTTAGTTTCTGTGAGCTACAGTCTTTGCCTAAGGAGATTTCTCGCCTGTATCTTGTTCCCAGAGATTTCAATCCCATAGGCCCATTTTTCTCAGAGGTACAAGAGCCCTAGCCTCTTTTATGGGCCCTCTAATGTACAGCTATGGGTCTCTCCCCATTCTTCTTGTCCAGTAACTCTTTGAAATATATTCTTTGCAAAGTAAACTCAAGCAAAACATCGCTCTCCTGCTGGAGCATAATTGCCCATACTGTCTTCTTGCTCACTTGATAGCTTTATTCATCTCCTCAATGTTTCTGCCTGACAAGCAAACGCCCGTTCTAAGGCAGACATGGCTTATGCATTTTTTGCCAAACACGTTTTATGAACATAATTTTAGCACATATTTACACCCAAGCACAGTGATGATCAGTAAGGCTGTGTCTACACTGGCATGAATTTCCGGAACTGCTTAAAACGGAATACTATTCCGTTTTCAGTTTTTCCGGAAAAGGAGCGTCTACATTGGCAGGCTGCTTTTCCGGAAAAGGCCTTTTTCCGGAAAAGCGTCTGAGGCCAATGTAGACGCGCTTTTCCGGAAAAGAGCCCCGATCGCCATTTTCGCAATCGGGGCTTTTTTCCAGAAAAGACTACTGGGCTGTCTACACTGGCCCTTTTCCAGAACAGTGTTCCGGAATAAGGACTTATGCCCGAGCGGGAGCAGAATAGTTTTTCCGGAATAGCGGCTGATTTTGTACAGTAGAGCATCGTTGCTTTTCCATAAATTCAAGGGCCAGTGTAGACAGCTCGCAGCTTATTCCGGAAAAGCGGCTGATTTTCCGGAATAAGTGGCCCAGTGTAGACACAGCTTAAGTGATTAATATCCCAAGGATATATTTCATGACACCTTTTGGGTATCCAGTAAAACCTCAGAGTTATGAACACCACAGGAATGGAGGTTGTTTATAATAGGGATGTAATAGTCTAGTTGATTAACTGATTAACCGATAAGCAAAAGTGTATAGGTTAATGCTACAGAGAACACACATTTCCTCCCACTCCTTGCCAGTAAATTTTTAGCAGGCTAGCCAGCAGCCCAGCTCAGACCCAGCTTGTACCAGGTCCTGAACCTATCCCCATTGCAGCTCTGCATTTAAAGTGTATTAGGAGCCTGGCTCAGTTCCAGCTCACCCTGGGTCCAGGAGCTCAACCTCCCCGCCTCCAGACAGGGGCTGCCCAGGGACTACAGAATAGTTGACTAACTGATAAGAATTCATGAGGTTAATCCACTATTCAGTTAACCAATATTGAACATCCCTAAGTTTATAACTCTGAAATGTTCGTAACTCTGAACAAAACGTTATGGTTCTTTCCGAAATGTATCCTCCAAATGCAGCTTTGAAACTTTCACTATTGAGATGAAAAAAACTATGTTCCCTTTTTTTAAAGTAGTTTACATTTAACACTGTATTGTAGTGTATCCTCCCCCTCTCCCCCGTCTCTGCTGCTGCCTGATTGCAAAGTTTTGATCCAAGTTCTGGTCCAAATAAGGGGTGGGGTTGACTGATCCGTTTGTAACACTGGTGTTTGCAACTCTACTGTAGGACATGACAAGAGCGTGTTCAATGTAGTGAATATGTTGGGTCTGACGAGTGGCTAAGCAACCATCAACCTCGGTGTCACAGACATTTCGTGTTAGACTGGTCAAAGCACTAGAAATATAGTGCAGAAATCTAGTCCAGACCAGCTTGCACTGACCTGGGTGGCATGGATGGAGAAGGTGAGCTAATCTTCTTCTAGTATCAGAGGGGTCGCCATGTTAGTCTGGATCTGCAAAAGCGACAAGGAGTCATGTAGCACCTTATAGACTAACTGAAGTGTTGGAGCGTAAGCTTTCGTGGGCAAAGACCCACTTCGTCAGATGCTAATCTTCTTCTAATCACTCTTCTGCTATGGAAAGCCACTTGCTGGCTGAATCACTGCCAGTAGCTTCATGCCTGTCCTCTCTGACCTTGTCATCATCTCATGCTTCTGCAGGAACCTACGGCAGGCATCGGTTGGGCTAACTGACGAGATCAACTTTGAAGATTTCCTGACTATCATGTCCTATTTCAGGCCTATTGAGATGAATATGGATGAAGAGCAGCTGGATCACTTTCGGAAAGAGAAACTCAAATGTGAGACTTACCAGAAGTCCCCTGCTCAGGGCCCTCCCCTCACAGTTTTCCGGGTGGGCTGTACAGACACACCACTTCACCCAATGCTCTCTTTGTAGTAGGGTGCTGGGCTCCAGGATTGTGATTTGGAGATGTCAGCTCCTGGCGCTCATAACTGAGCTCTCTTGTTTCCTAGTTCTCTTTCACATGTACGACTCGGACAACGACGGGAAGATCACCCTGCATGAATACAGAAAAGTAATGTATCGTTCTCGCTTCCGCCTCACCCCAAAAGCCTTCCCCCCAAGCAGTGCCACGCCACCCCTAACTCTGGTCCGACTTGCTTCCTGCTCCCCGCTAGGTGGTAGAAGAGCTGCTGTCAGGGAACCCACATCTGGAAAAGGAGTCAGCGAGGTCAATTGCAGATGGTGCCATGATGGAGGCTGCCAGCATCTGTGTGGGACAAATGGTGGGCCCCTTTGGATGTCATAGGAGTGTGCAGCTGTTGTGCCATGTCTGTGTGTGCCCTGCAGGATAATCTGGTACTGCTCAATGGGAGAGTGTACTGCCCAGCTCCAGTTTGTTCAGCACCTATGCACCACTGACTGCACTCTGGGGATGATTTTGGGTGGAGCACTGCAGGACCTTATGTACATGGAGCTGCCACTGCATTCCCTCTCGCTGTCTGATTGCAGCTGGTTGCATATCTGCAAAATGAGTGCACACAAACCCTGCTGGAGGAGTAAATGTCCCAGCTCTAACCACTGTGTGTGTATAGACAGCTCGGTTAGGTCTCCATTGGCAAGATTTTGTGCAAATACTCTTTAACACAAGAGTTCTTGCATTAGAGTATTTGCGCAAGAGAGCGTCTATACTGGCATGTGCTTTTGCGCAAGAGCATCCGTGCCAGTGTAGATGCTCTCTTGCGCAATAAAGCTCTGATGGCCATTTTAGCCATAGGGCTTTCTTGCACAAGAAATTCATGTTGCCTGTCTACACTGGCCTCTTGCGCAAGAACAGTTGCACAAGAGGGCTTATTCCTGAACGGGCGCATCATAGTTCTTGCACAAGAAGCCCTGATTTCTTACATTAGAACGTCTGGGTCCTTGCGCAAAAACTCATGGCCAGTGTAGACAGGCAGCAAGTTTTTGTGCAAAAGCAATTGCTTTTGCGCAAAATCTTGCCAATGTAGACACAGCCCTTAGGTCCCATTCTGCTTGCACTTAAGTCCCATTGCAGCCTAGGGGGTTTGAAGGCTGGAACTTCCAAGGCTCCTTGGGCTAAGAGGTCCAGAGTCCTGAACACGAAGGAATTTGTTTCCTTCCACTGTCCTAATGAGTCAGCGCTTGGTGCCTGCTCCTTTGGCTTGGCTCAGCTTTTGCTTCTGACTGAGACTTCTCCCTGAGGCTGAGAAGCAGGTGATAGTGGCAGGCTCTGATCTTGGCGCCATCAGAATTGCATTGCTTGTTTGCTCAGAGAGTGATACCATGGCATTCCGGTGCCAATCTACGTCCCAGCAGCCTCAGCCCCCACAAGGCCAAGTGCCTGGGCGCTGGCCTTCTACTCTGTAACTTTTGCAGCTGCATTCCTTTCCTCTAGCTTGATTAGTCTCCAAGCTTCTCCCCCCACAAATATCAGCCCATGCCAAAAACTAACTGGTTACACTTGTTTTCCCTCCTCCCCCTGGTCTTATGCAATGACAATCCTTTGCACCCTAGCACTCAGAGGTAGCTAGGTATTATTCCTGTTTTATGGGGGGAAACTGAGGCACAAATGGAGGAAGAGCCAGGTCTTCTGAGTGCCAAGCCCCCAGCCAGACACCCTGTCTCTTCCCAATCTTTTCAGTGCTATGAACAGAACTGGAGTGGCGTTAATTCTGTGTCTCTTCCCAAACCCTAGGAGCCAGACCAGGTGTACGAGGGAATCACTTTTGAAGACTTTCTGAAGGTTAGCAAAGACTTCTGTGTTGGTCCGACTAACTTTTGCAATGGGAGCCTGAATGGGGTGGGAAGAGCCCCTAGGGCTAAATCCAGCAGGCAAATTCATTCCCCAGACTTGTCTTGTGCAGCTGTTGTGTCCCAATCCATTTTGCGGTTGTTGTGACAGCAAATGTACTTGCACGCAGCACCTAATCCTTTTGCACTAATCATGCAGTTCTTCCCAAACTTTTTGGCATCACGCCCCCCTTTCTGATTTTTGAGCCACACCCCCACACCCCCAAATAGCAGCAAAACTTGTTGAGCAAAAAAAAAGGGGGAAAGGGGGGGGGCAAAAAGGAACTTGATTGGGGGGGAGGGAGACTGGGACACCTTGCATCCCCCCTGGAATTTCTTCATGCCCCCCAGATGGACACACACCCCAGTTTGGGAACCCATGCACTAATGTGTCTATGGTTCCTGTGCAGGGCTGGCTACCAGTGACCTTGCAAAGGCCTCATTTACCCACTGCCACCTGTCCTTTTGTTAGTAGCAAAGCCACACTGCCCCCGGCTTTTCTCCCCTCCAGCCCCTGCCAGTAGCATAGTAAATTTCTTCATGCCCCCCAGATGGACACACACCCCAGTTTGGGAACCCATGCACTAATGTGTCTATGGTTCCTGTGCAGGGCTGGCTACCAGTGACCTTGCAAAGGCCTCATTTACCCACTGCCACCTGTCCTTTTGTTAGTAGCAAAGCCACACTGCCCCCGGCTTTTCTCCCCTCCAGCCCCTGCCAGTAGCATAGTAACAGCTTCCAGGCGTGCAACACAGGCACTGGCTGGGCAGGTTTCCCATGCGCTGTCTCCTGCCAGTTGCTCAGCGTTGTTCTGAAGGGCACACTTCTAAGAGTAGTTTAACCCAACCCCCTCCCTGCAGAAGAAAGAAAAAGCCCCCCCTGCCTCTCAGGAGTGCCAGCCAAGTACACTCCTGTTGCGAGCTCTACCAGCCCCCCCACCCGTTGCATTTAACTCTGCCTGTTCCAATTCCAGATGTGGCAGGGGATTGACATTGACACCAAGATGCACGTCCGCTTTCTAAACATGGAGCCTATTGCCCATTGTCACTGACCTTCGCCCATCCCAGAGCCACTGGACTGCAGGGAAAGGGGAGCAAAGCCGCGGGCAGAGGAGCAAGGCCGGTGACTACTAATGGCAGGTCCATGCTTTGGGTACCAGATGTCTGTCGTTTTGCTGCGGATGCATGTGTGATGAAATCCTGTGAGATCCCTATGTTCCCACAGGCACAGTGTTGTGCTGTGTAGAAAATGTCTGATTGCAGATTCCTTCGTATAATAAAATTCCCTTTTGTTTTGTACACCTGCCTGAGGAAATGTTACCACTCTTCAAAGTGGCCTGGAACTTGGAAGGGCAGTTTCTCTGTAACTGCCTGTTGCAGGATGCATGTGTGATGAAATCCTGTGAGATCCCTATGTTCCCACAGGCACAGTGTTGTGCTGTGTAGAAAATGTCTGATTGCAGATTCCTTCGTATAATAAAATTCCCTTTTGTTTTGTACACCTGCCTGAGGAAATGTTACCACTCTTCAAAGTGGCCTGGAACTTGGAAGGGCAGTTTCTCTGTAACTGCCTGTTGCAGAGCAACCCGAGGCTAGCGGCAAGGAGGGGGCATAGGCAGCCATTGGCCTCAGCTAGAAAGCAGCTGCTGCTGTTTCCAGGCACACTGCAAACACAGTAAACTGCTCTCTCCTGCCCTCCTCTAGCCAAGGATAAGCGCAAGCACCAAGCGCAGGTGCGGCTGGGGAAAGGGGGAATGTGTTTTCCTCAGTTTGCAATTTTCACACTGGTCATTGATAACAGCAGCCAAAAAACCCCAAACCAAGAAGGGACTCGTGCTTAATGTTATAGGAAAACAAGTTAGACTGGGTCTTTGGATCTGCAAGATAACAATGCACAGATGGGCAGGCCTCCCACGTTCAACCTCTGACTCATTATTCCCCACCCTCCCCAATACACCTCCCCTCCCCGAATTGATCATGTGCCTCTGACTCACCTGTCCTCTGCCCACTAACCAATGGGCTTCTGACTCCCACCAGCTGAGCCGTTTCAGACAGCCCCTCCCATCTTTTTGCACAATAGGCTCTTGGGGCAAGTAGCAGCTCTTGCAAAGCAGTTACACAGCGTCTAACCTAGGGAGTGGCCCGTATCTTTGTTGGCATTTCTAGGTGCAGTCACACTACAAATGATAAAACCCCATTTTAAGAAATAAAATCATCTGCCTTAAAAAGTTTCCTTTTCTTCTCAGTTGTACATTTCCACCTCTAATGTGGGGATGGAACAATGACCCATTTAAAATGTTACCAAATGTAGGATCCAGGAATTGAAATTTTCTACCAATGAAAGGGGCTAAGATCCAATAGCCACATGGATGGTCACTTATTCCTAGGCCTGGCAGATTAAAGCAAACTGAGACTATCTTGTTGGCTGATATTAATAATATATATCTTCCTTTGGCGATCTGATACCAATGTAGTCTGTAGTGGGCAAAATAGGGGCAAAAATACCATTTTTAGAAACTCCAGACTGTTTTTAAATAGCTTTTTCTGCAAAATATGTGGCATGAGCAATCTAGGTGGCATACGCAAAAATGTTCCTGTGCCACAAATGAGCAGGTCAGCCCTTGTCCCTCCCCCTGCCTTTGGAAGCCAGTAAATCATTAGGCTGGCACACAGCGTGTGGGTGTACTAGAAATGGTGTAGTACATGTCTCTGCCTTACGCAAGCATCCTTGGGCCCCGTTATGTTTGGTAAGAGAGATTTGCTCTCATTTAAAGGATGAGCAAATGTGTGCTGGGAATCTTGAAAATACTTGAGAGCTAGTGAGTTCTTAAGAGCAAGTGCTGTCTGGGAGGGGAAGCTTCCTAATTCAGGAGCATCCATGGTGAGTGTCACATGTTGTGTTACATCACTCCGGGGTGTAAACCCCTCACTCTCCCGCATCATGCCTCCCACCTCTCCCAAGTGATGCAGGTTTCGTGCTGTCCATACCAGTGGTGACACCAGACACACCCTGCTGAAATGGGATTTTAAACAGGCTCTAGGCAGCATGTGAATGTCCAGGAACCACATGGAGTTGGGGAAGATGAATGCACCATTTACAAGGCGAAAGATCTCTTGTCCTTAGGGCTTAGTACTGTTGCCATGAAGCTCAACCCTCTATCCCTTCCTCCTCTAGAGGTTCTAGAATGGTACAAACCAGTACTGTCCTGCAGTGCTAGCAGCCACCCCAAACAAGGTTCCCTCTAAGATGCAGGGCAGCACAGCCCCTCAGCTGCTTAATGAGCCCCACCCAGTCACGGGCTCAGGGCTCCATGGGGAACTGCCTAGCTGAGGGAGAGGCACTTCCCCCTCAGCCACAGCTCCCTGCTGAGGACAAAGCAGCAAGAAACTGGGCTGGGAGAGATTCCCTGCTCTGTCCTTAGCAGGGCGCTGCTGCTGTCTCTGAGGGAGAAGTACCCTTCCCCCAGCCAGGCAGCTCTGCATATAGCCCCAAGCCCCTGGTCTGGCAAGGCTGATTAAGCAGCTGTGGCCATCCTGCTGTGCAGCTTGCAGGGAACCTGGATGCCAAACCTCTGCCCTTCTTCTTGCCAGCCCTGCTGCATGGCCGGGCTAATGCACAGGGCTAGCTCAGGGCACGAACAAGCTGCGCTTTACTCTGCTACCAGCCAAGCTAAGCCCCAAAATATCTTGCCTCTATATAGAACTGTGTAATAGCATTGCCTGGTGTCTGGTGTTTGACTCGCACTACCCGTCAAAAAGGGAACTTGGCAGCTCCAGTTTGCACTGCTGAGCTGTTAAGAGTTGGTGGGGTATGGGAGGCTGCCACTAGCAGACTCCCCACCTGGCTCCACATGGCTCTTAGAAATGACCACACCCCCTTCTGGCTCCTAGGCAGGATGGTCGGAGGGGCGGGAAATCATGCACTGCCCCTGTCCTGTGCTCCAGCTGTGCAGCTGCCATTGGCCAGGAACGGCAGCACAGCGCCACCTGGTCACGCCTCTTGCTAAGAACATGTCACCACTTCTCAAGAGTCCTCCAACGTAAGTGCCGCCCAGATCCTGCTCCCCACATTCTCTTCCACACCTCAGTCCCCTGGCCCTGCCCTGAGCCCCCTCCACTTCCTAAACACTCTCCCAGAGCCTGCACGTCACACCCCAGGCCAGACCTTAGCTTTTCCCAGGGCTCACACCCTGCACGGCCGATGACCTATATGTGATCGAGCAGGGTTTCCATTTGTTCCTTGTCCTCTTCCTTTCCCAGTCCTTGAACCCTTCAGAAATGTCTGCTGTTTGCAAACCGGGGTGGACTAGCCCTGCAGAGGGAGAGGTGAGTTCAGCAGCATGGAAGGTGACGGAGTAGTACTCTTGACTAATACTCCAGCTCTTTTGCATGAAAAGCTGCTCAGTAGAGGCAAAATCCCACCTCTCTCTCTCTCTCCTTCAAGCCCCACTCTCCCAACAAGAAGGGAACACTTACACCAGGGAACAGGCAAGATCCCGTCAGGAGAGCAGGGTCACTTGATGCCACTATTTCCCTCTTGCAAGCTCCATCCTGCCCAATAATATGTATCTGTGCTTATGGTTGTATTTTATAAGGTGCACACAAGGGTGGGGTGGGAGAAAAAAGGACACACCTAGGGCTGATTTACTCTGGCAAGCTAGTTCAGCAATAAGCTGGAGTTAAGTTGACTTAACCCCAAAAATATAGTCCTTAGGGGTACGGAACAGCTGCCCTATGAGGAGTGATTAATAAGACTGGGACTTTTCAGCTTAGAAAGAAGACAACTAAGGGAGGATATGATAGAGATCTATAAAATCTCCCTCTCCCTCTGCAGAGCCAGTCCTCACTGCTCTCCTGACGGGATCTTGCTTGTTCCCTAGTGTAAGTGTTCCCTTCTTGTTGGGAGAGGGGGGCTTGAAGGAGAGAGGTGGGATTTTGCCTCTACTGAGCAGCTTGTGGTGTGAGTTCTGGGAGAAGCTTAGGACTGGGCAGGAGTGTGGAGTACCGGTTCTGGGAGGGTTTTTAGGGGTGTGAAGAAAGTACATTAGGAAGTTATTTACTCCTCATAACACTAGATCTGGTGGTGTGGGTGTCACCAAATGAAATTAACAGGCAGCAGGTTTAAAACAAACAAAAGAATTTTTCACACAATGCAGTCAACCTATGGGACCTTGGATGCTGTGACAGAACCAAGATGATAACAGGGTTCAAAAAAGAACCTAAGTTGACAGAGGATAAGTCCATCAATGGCTATTAGCTGGGGCGGTGGCCCTAGCCCTGCCTGCCAGAAGCTGGGAATGGGTGTCAGAGGAGAGATCATGCAATGATTCCCTGTTCAGTTCACTCGCTCTGGGGCACCTGGCATTAGCCACTGTTGGCAGACAGGGTCCTGGGCTAGATGGACCTTTGATGTGACCCGGTACGGCCGTTCTTATGTAAAGAGAAGGCAAGGGAGGAATTATTCTGTTGATATAGCTACTGACAATGTTGCCAAAGACAAGGATGCAAGGTTAAGGAGAGGCCGAGTGACTCAGCATGGCATAAGGTTGAGCAAAGGCACAGCAACCATTGTATTCTATGGGGGACAGAGGTAACATACTTGTGTGTTCATCTCCTATATATTTGAGAGTGAGAGTTCTTGCTTGTGTGTGTCTGTTCAAGAACTCCCCCTAAGAGGTAAGAGCTGGGATCACCAAATTCGATATACAGCTTCCTCTTGTCCTAACTTAAAGCGAGGTCAAGGTTAGAATAGAGGGACATCTAGACCAGTTAATGAATAGCCTAGTTATAGCAGAAATGTTCTTCGGTAGATTTCTATTACATGTATGAATGAAACCAGTTGCCCTGGCAGTAGACCACAGAGCAGAAGGAGAGAAGTTAGGCATCTTCAGAATGGAAGGGATTGTTAAGTTACACTGCAAAGATCAGAAATAACAAGGGCTTCTTGA